GCGTGTGAAGCGGCGGTACTCGTCGTGGGCCGCGGCCGGCCCCCAGCGCTGGAGCCGGCGCAGCGCCATGACGACGACCCCGACGACGTGGCGCCCGTCCAGGCAGTGGACGTAGACGGGGTGGGCGTCGCGGTCGATGAGCAGCCCCAGGGCCGCGCTGAGGTCGGTCGGGAGGAGCTGCACCTCACCCTTGAAGCGCTCGGCGTGGAGGTGGCGCAGCTGGATGCGGTGCGCCGCGGCGAAGCCGGCGAGGTCGTACGTCGGCCCCTCCGGCGTCAGCAGGACGATCGTCCGCAGCCCCAGGCTCGCGAGGAAGGGAAAGTTGCGCAGGGTCGGGTAGGCCCCGCGGTAGACCCCCGCCTCCACCAGCGCAAACCGGAAGGGCGGGACTAGGTTCAGCCGCGGCGGCGGCCCTCGGCCGGGCGCGCGGTCGCGATCCCCGCCGCGCGCCGGGCGGGGGGGGATGCGGTTCGGTAAGGCCGCCTCCAAAAGCACCGCGGCGTCGCCCTTCGGCCCATTTGTGACGGCGCGGCCGGGGCTCAGCATAAAGGTGGGGGGCGCAGTTAAATAACCCTCGTGCCGAGGACAGGTTTTGGGCTCCGCCATGGTTGTTTTCCTATTGAAAATGGGCTCGCCAAGTGATAAAACAATAGTAATACGACTATTCACCGCGTCTCTTCCTTTTGTCTCGCATAAAGAGGCCCACACCCGTTTGTATGAAGTGAGTCCAACACGAAAGACGGTGTAGAAGTGGTGCAGTCGTGGTGCTCAAGCTTACCCGCTCCTTTTGCTCGCTAGAGGTACTTATTGGGGTACACTTGCTGAGTCCAAAACACCACCCCGCTGTGGTATACACACATACACAAAGGAGATATTAAAAGGTATCTTTTGGAAAGAAATGAATCATAAAGAGAGAAAAAAGTGTTAAAAAATAACATGACGTATACTATTGTTTCTTTTCATCCCACTTGGCCGCGATACAGAAAACTCGTAAATCCAGAAGACAAGGGGGTAGGGATGAGGACAAACTTCCTTTCTTTTTCTGTGTAAGAAATTATTATTATTAAACACCACAGTTAACTATAGGATATCGGAGTTTGATGAAAAAACAATCCAAGAGCACAAAGAATAGTTTTCGTAGAATCGAATTTTTTCAACATGCAAAAATATCTAAATAATCACGTGGCGTTTGATGAGGTATGAGATACCTCAGTCTGTTGTATGATTCAGTTTATACTTTGGTTGCATTCCCATCCACAGACAGTGAAATTACGCCTGGGCATGTTGGCACGTTAAATTCCCCTTTACTAAAGAATAATGAATTGAATCACATTTTTTCACAGGTTAATCCAACGTCATTCATTGGCAGTTCTAAGTTGTTTGCCTTCCTAGATCGTCGCTGTCAGCTTATCTAAGCCTAGCATACGCGTTGGTAAAGCCCAGAATAGGTACGCCATGAGCGCGCCGCCAGTCGACGCGCCGTGCTCCTCTGGCCGTGTTGTGAAGATTCGCCATACATCAATGACCATTACAAACGCGGTAAGCACCAGAAACGGAATCGGTGGCTGCTGGATGAAGTTCAAATGCCGGAAAATCAACCCCTCCATCGCGACAAGCCCCATGATGATTGTATTGGGCCCGTAGCATCGACCACGAACCTCCAACTCATCCATGCCGTAGGTTAGTTCAAACTTTTGCCGCGCAACGTGGAGCAGACTACCGCCGAGCGTGCAGAGCATCGCGAAGAACATCATGCGTGTATTCCCGAGGAATCCCAGCATCGTATCACCGAACTGCCATAACAACCAACAGTCGATGAGCAGCTGTAGTAGGTTCTCCTGGTAGAAGGCATTCGTAAAGATGGGGTACACACGGCCGAAGTTTTCATGCGATAAAGTTAAATGATCCACCAAAAAATCCCGTACGTCATCGTTTCCGAGCATCATCGCAAAATAGCACACAACGTTGGCGATGAAGAGGAACATGATGATATTGATAGTATGAAAGGGAGGTGGAAATGGTAGATAACCGGGACCAGAAGAGCGAGAAAAGGGATCTTCTTCCTCTTGCTTTTTTTCCTCTTCATCCACTTTGTACTGCTCAATGCTGCTTACGTTTTGGAGCTGATTTTTATCCGTCTTTGGGGCCTGAAGGGTGCCGTTCGGCCGTCCTACTGCGGCACTGGTGTGATGATGATAACCGCAGAGCGAGGCATGCAGAGCTGGCAACGTAGCGTGAAGGTGGAAAGGCGCACAGGAAGCCATTGCAAACCTCAGCGTGGATGCACCGCGCGTGAAGCTGGAGGCAGTTCGCACGATGGGCGTCAAGGGGCGCGATGCTAACGGTGTGAGGGATTCACCACAACATAAGCGTCCATTCATCTGATTTTTTAATGGGCTACTGTTCAATATGCCCACAGATAACGGCCCGGACGGCGGATGACTACAAATCGAAGACGCCTTACCAGCATAGTAGCATGTGTAAAGAAGGGTCCTCATATCGACCTTAGCACCTACGTTGATCACGCCCGGTATAGTAGAGTAGCTTATTTTTTGTAAACACTTGCGAAGTCCCCTGGGAGGGGCACGCATGCCGTGTGTGGTAAAAGGATTTGCCATGTGATAATGGAAGACGTTTATTTCAACCTCTTCTATATATTTATTACGTTGTTAAGCTAATAAATACCTTGCGTCTATTTTCTAAAAGTGATGCTAGCGAATAAAAAAATGAGGTTTTAGATTCTTTTTCCAGATCCTTTAATATCAGCATTCATATCATGGGTCAATGAACAACAATAAAAAAATGAAGTGTATTAAACGAATGTATATTTGTGAAGTCAAGCCCACCAAAGAGACTCGGAAGTTTGGATAGAATAATACCAAGGCATTATGAAGGGAAAAATACAAAATCAACGCTGAAAACAGCACCCTACCTTATTTTCCTTTTTGTTTAGGTTTCACTACGCGGTTGTGAGACCCATATCATAAAATAAATGCGTAACTACGACCCCTCCTCTCCCTCTGACACACACACATACACATACAAGAAAGAAAAAAACGAAAGACTTATTAGTCCATCACGATCACAAGTGCTACAGGGATTATTCAGCTTAAATTTGAATTGTATATCCTCAGATCCTATGTATTTCTGTAAATCAATCAAAAAATACGTCTATGTATTTTTCTTTTCTGACAACTACTCTTTGAAAGGAAAGGGAATACTGTCTCTCTACGCAATCGCCAATAGAAGGAAATTAATCACCTCAGCATTCATTAGGAAGAAGGTATCTTTACTTGCCTCACTCACAACTTCTGATCCCTTCCGCAATTCTCATACCGGAGAGGCACACTTTATGGATGAACGGCAAGTCCCTATTGCTTGAGTCTGTCGTGTGAGAACTCTTCGGACGGTTCACTCCCCTCAGTTGACTTCTCTTCCTTAGCATCCGCTTGCTGTTTAAGCGCGTGCAGCCTTCGTTTCTCCTCAAGCAATCGCTTCTCCAGCGCGTCTCGATGCAGGACATCGCGCAGGCGCATAGTACGGAGCTGCATAAACCGAACCTTACTCCGTATGTGCGGATTTGGCATTCCCCCGATGCGGCCGAAGGTGCTCGGGATCTGCGCGGCGAGGTCAGAGAAAGTGATGTGCTCGGGCACCCCAATGAGGGCCTTGGCCTCGTCCAGATCGAGCACATCCACACGGACCACCGCGCGGGCCCGCCAGAGCGCGGCGCGGACGGGCGGAATGTCGGGCAGGATGGTGGTCTGCCCCATAAACTCCAGCCGCAGCCCCCGCAGCACGCGGTTGAGCTCCCAGCCGTGTTTGAAGGGGTGGTCCACGCAGTTCACGATGAAGATGTTCCCCACGCAGCGGTGCGGCCCGGCGTGGGGGGCGGTCGCGTTGGGGGGGACAGGGGGGGAGGAGGAAGAGGAAGAGGCCCGCCCGCCGCAACAGAGGAGGGGAAGCGTGGAGATCCACCTCCACATGGGGGGGGGGGGGTTAGGGTAAAGGAGGTGGTTTTCCTTTTAGTTAATCGTCAGCTATTGGTGTTGGGTTCGTATCGTGTCTACGACATATTTTCTGGGAATAAAATGAATAGAAAGGGAAGGGGGAAGAAAGCACTCTTCGATCGTTGTCGTAGCTTCGTTTTCACCCTTACCAATTGGAACATCGTTTGGGTGTAACCGATTAACCTCTACGTATAACACATGAGAGATGGTTGTCCTCGTTGTCAACAAATATCACCACAACCAGCGCGTACGCACCACCCATCTCTACACACAATGGAATGATTCGCTTTCGTAATCTTACATTTTCTTCAGCGTGTTGTCTGGTTATTTCAGTTGATTTATAAAGAAAATACACGCAAAGACAATGATGTGTATAATAGGAATAGGATATAATTACTACCAGAATCCGCATTGTGATTCACTACTGTGTGCACAGTGGCAAAGCAACAATAATTCTGAAAACACTGAACTACTACTACTCAGCTCTTTGGGGCTCGCATTAACCTTACAGAGTGTATTGAAGTAATGATCGGCGCGGCTCCTAATTTGGATCAGATTTCAGAGGTCTTCATCCCAACGATATAAACAATGGCATAAAAATACTATACAAAGGGAAAATACTTCTTGACGAAATAATAGGGTTTTAGAATCTAAATAATATTATATACAATCATGTATGAATGTAATCAATAGTCAAATTTTACCATTTCCCTCATATGAGAGATTAATGAAAAGTAAAATGTATCGGTTCATCCATCTGTCAAGCAAAGAGCGCAACTCGGCAGTGTAGCGGTTCCTTACCTTGGAACATGTATATGGTAAACACCAGTAGAAGGCTCCTAATATCGACCGTCGCGGTTCCGTGAACAACACAACGAGCCTAACTTCGATTCGACTGGTACCGTGTTCTGCGCTACCTCGCGAACACCCTCTTCCCCATTCACTTAACTATGCTTTATAGTTAACGTTCGATGTAATTTGCCATCGTATGGGTTCAGGTTGATTTTCACTTACTTCTATCTCTTCCTTTTTTAATTCTTCTGTATCATCTTCGGTCTCGATTTCGATTTCTTCATAACTGCTCGAGATATTTTTCGTGAGTATCTTCGTCTTAGTGATGGTGCGCACCTCTATAGCAGCATCAATTTCCGTGCACTGCACAAAAGTGTCGGTATTGATTTTTTGCGTAGTCTCGAGCATCGGTTCATCGGAGATCAGCAGCGACGTCGTCTCACCGTCGTCAGTGTCGATCATGTCTTTAATGATCATGTTGAGGGACGTCATCTTGTTGACGTGAATCGGGCTCGCAACTTGTGCCCTCAAAGGCACCTCGATGTTTGAGTAGTTGCTGTCCTCAGGAGAATGTAATGACGCCTCGTGGAATAGTTCCCTATGCGTGGAGTCTTCTCCCAGAGACTCTACGCTGAACTTACCCCAATATGCGGCATCCCCTTCTTCCCAGCCCTCAGTAAGGGGTATATCTTTCACAAAAGTGTCAATTACACTCAAATCGGTCTTCTCGCGGTACTTTGACGGAATCCACACGTGACGATGCGTGGAATGACCGAGGGCATTCTCGAGGCCACACATCGTGCGGTACATCTTCCATGTTGCTTGGATTTTTGTCGCGGATTCGTGGATCAGCTTCTTTCGCATGAGCGCATCAAGCCTCCTGATATGTTCCGTCAGCTGAACCACCCAAGGGTAGTCGTAATCGTAGATACAGCAAAGCGTGCCAAGACAGCGTTGTACAATCAATTTTGCATGGTTGTAGAGCTGTACGTCCTCATAGATCTGCGCGAGCTGCAGAAGGGGCGGAATCAACAGCTCCGACTGGTAGTTATGCGCAATTTCAACCACCTCACAACATCGTATGAGCAAAAGCTCGCACGGCATTGCGAGAAGCTGGTGCTCTGTCCTACTGTACGGCAGGAATTCCCTCATGGGGGAGAATAGCGTTTTCGTTTGTCGTTGCACGACGTTTTGCGGCGACTGCCGGAGAGAAGAATTCGCACGAAAGTAGTGGGACGCCACCATCCCCCCCTTCGCGTTGCGTAGGTCCACCGAGGAGCTACTGTGGGTAGCTGTAGAGTGGCCCCCTCGCTCGTCGTGCGCGTGGTTATACCAGATTTTTGCCAGCCCCATCATCGCCCGGACGTAGCGCTTGAGCATGGGGTAGCACCC